ACGCTGGGTTAAGAAGTGCCCAGTAGTAGTAGTAGGATACTTCTGTACTAACGTCAGATTAATGTGAGATGATTCTCTAGTTATATTCAGTATTTAATAGTAAAATAACTACTGTAAAATACAAAATAAAACGGTGGAATATACATGATGAATATGTGTGTTTATATGTTAGATAATAATTGTTAAAGAATTTACTTGAATAAAGTATAATACTTGAACAATGAACTACAGTATATGAAAAGTCAGAGATGTACAGCGAGCGTCCCTAACATTCACATAAGCCTTTTTTGCATGTTGTAACTCAATGTTATATCATAAAGTACAATCAAGTTAAGCACTGTTTACTTAGATGAACTCATTTTCATTTTTTTTTCCATTATGCTTGTTGGAATATCCTACATGTAGAACTGAAAGCTGTTTAATAGCTACATACAGAACATGATCCTATAGACTGTGTGTTCTGCCCAGACTTGCAGCGAGCTCTGGACAGAATGAATTTTCTGGCTGTATTGCTCGTTCATATATTTTTGTATTCAGTAATTCGCGTAAATGGAGACTTTAGTGAAGACTGTAACATACCTTTCTACTTAATAATTTCTATGACGTTTTCAGTAATGGATATAATGGGATAATATCCATCTGACTGTCTTTAATAACAGTTTATGAGTAGATCTCAAATGATGACTGATCTGGATATTTATTTAGTTTTATTTTGCAAATGGTACCGTATTGTTTCAGTGCAAGGAACTGTCATGTTAGGAATACTATATATAATGTGTATAACTCATACACTTACATATTATTGCTCTTTATAATCAGGTATGTATATTTTTCCTCGTGCATATACATATGTATTGTTGTTTATGGTTGCTTTCAGTACGTGTATATAGTTGTATGTTATTTTTATGTTAAATTTCAGTACACGTACATTCTTCTACATTGTTGTTTATAACTTGTTTACACGTGTGTGTGTTTATAGTACCTTGTTTACGTGTGTATATATACATAGGTTGTTGTTAACGACAACTTGTATACATGTATATAATATACTATTGTCCACAATGTATTTCGATACCCGTATTTATGTGCTAGTATTGAAACTTGTTTGTTGTTTGTATAATAAACTGAGGTTCCCGAGTACAAGGAATATTGTTGTAAATATATGTAATTTACTCAGTGGTAGTAAATAATATTGTGCTATACTTTCTACCATGATTTTTAATGCGTGAAAACATGTTAAAGGGCCTAGTTTACTCTTCTTTTGTTTCGTTTAGCACCTTTTTATCTGGTTTATAATGTTTTCTTGGAATACCACAACTCATCATAAGTTCTGAAGAAAATAACTTTGTTACTGTTGTAAAGTCTAGCTGCTAACAACAATAGTTATGTATGTGTTAAATATTTCTCATATTTTTCACTATTATAAGAGGCCTAACTGTATTTCTTTGGTATGCTAACCAAAGCTGTGCTGAGTCTTGAATAAGCGAAACTGCACTCTACAGCAGAGGGTACAACCAATCAAGGAATGCATTAGGTCTCTACGTCACATATTCTCTTTCCAATTTTACCTTTGGTGAAAAAGAAAAGAAATCTTTAACACACTTTATTATCATTAAACAGTTGGTTCATTGTATAATATCGAATAATGAATTAGGTGCAATTTCATAACATTGTTCACATACCTAAATTAATTTAGGTGCTGTTTAGTGAATTAAAAATAACTCAAAACCCCATAAATAGCAAATACGTCGTTAGTAAATTGCACTGTTGAACGTTAGAAATTAATTTTGAAATTGAACTTTAATTTTTTGTTTGTTTTAATATAAAGCTATACAATGGACTATCTGTGGTCTACCCATCGCAAGTATCGAAACCAAAAAATGCATAAACACTTAACAGCATATTAGCAGTGAAAGCTGAGTTTAGAGTTGTTTATTTGTTACAGATGGAAATACCGTTGACGTTTTAGGTTTTGTTTTGGCGCTGATAACACGACATACCAAAATACCTCTTATTAAAACGATATTATATTTCATGTTTATTTAAACAAAATACTTTCATGTTAAATTATGTAATGATGCTTTTGATGAGACATATTTGCATACAATAACATTCAACTGTTACGTAACTCTTTAAAGAAAACTATTAATATTAGGGTTTGTAAAGCCCAAGGAGTAGCTAACTCACTTGGACTGATGTTGCACTTAAACTGGTCAAACTAAGTTCTTCTTTTCCTTTGTTTATCTCTCTTTCTTGAGGTTATAAAGATTCCTCCTTGGAGGTCTATAGCATATGGTGGCCGGAGGGCAACAGTGTCTAATAATTAATGACTAGGAAAAATATTCTATAGATTTATTTCCCCACATAAAGTTTTTTTTTCCTCACTGTGCTTGTAGTGAGACCAGGAAATAATAGACTGAATAACATATCATTACATAAAAGAGGGTGGTCTGTTTCGAGAGTTTGTTACTTTTGACAGGTGATGGACTCTGGAAAGGAATCTTGATAGAATAAAAAAATCTGTATTGTTGCAAGTAGCTTATAGGAAAGTAGCAGATTGTCCCTCCTTTTGTTTCTGTTTGTAAATTGGTAATAAAACTCTCTCATTGAATGAAAAACCTGTGTTGTTTCTAGTAAGGTATGGAAAAACAATAGATCCTTGTGCTCACACACATTGTCCCCTTTTTTTGGTTCTGTTTGTAAACTGGTAACACAAATTTACACCTCACAGAATGAAACATCTGTATTGTTGCTAGTGCTGTATAGAAATACAATAGATCCTTGTATTCACACATTGTCCCTTCTTTTGTTTCTGTTTGTAAACTGGTAACAAAGCTCTACATCTTACAGAATAAAAAAACTTGTATTGTTGCTAGTGCAGTATAGAAATACAATAGATCCTTGTGCTCACACACACATTGTCCCCCCCCCCCCCATTTTTTGGGTAAACACATTTCGAAACCGGAGTAACTTAATATAGATTTGTACACACTTTTTTCTGCTCATCTGTAAATATACTGAGCTCTTTTTGTGAAAACTAGTAGAAGAGAAATATCGCGACCTAAACCACTATCATACCATGAATTTATTAAAAAAAAACGTGGACAGCTTTTGGAGACACTGAACTCCCCCCACAGGGACAAAACATCCGTTATCAGGAAGTTAAAGAGGTGAGGTCACTCCCTTTCTTCTTAGTGAGCTGCTAGTATTAGAAAAGTATTTTGCAGAAGAAGAGGAAAAAAGAGTATAGAAATTTGTCATAATTCAAATCTTTAGTTTCATCTTGATTTCGTGGTTACAAAGTTTTTCATGGAAAATAGCAACACGTAAGTAGAATCTAAAATTAAAGTTGTTTAAAAGACCATATTTGAGGTATATCTTTAGATAGAAAGAGACAAGCAAGTGAGTGAATATGCACTTGCATTATTAGAAAGTAAACATAAAAGACTCTCTTTGATTTACAACTTAACCATTTAACCATCTGTTGTTATAAATTATTGTATTTTCGTGGACTGACAACTGTAATATCAAGAAATTTATAATGCTCAGTAATGGGTCATAGTTCTTCAGACGTTATGTTTTATTCTGCGTACGTCCCATGATCTCGCAAGATATACACCCCAAAGGTTTGTAGAAAAATGTATCGAAAACAAGACAAGCCGATCTTGTTCTTCCTTGAAGTCTGTGTAGAACGTCATCTGATTTATCCAATATAGAAACTATTTTACAGTAAAGGCAGAAACAAAACAACAACAACAAAAAACCATACGATACGTTAAGTGTTCAAATTTTGACTAAGACTGATTGAGGTCGGAACTGCAGAAGTACCTGCAAACCGCTGTGTACAAGAGTATTCGAAACGTGACTAAGATGGATAGTTGATGGACACATTCCACTCTTTGCTTCACAAATGCCTCTCAACCATCAGGCTTGGAGACATTTGAACCACTTGATGGAAGTCGCTGTTTAAAAAAGTAAAAATATCCTGGGAAAATATTATGTTGAACGAGCTGAAAATGTCTGCGGGTTTTACCCCATACCAGAGATGTGATAAGAATCTCGAGTAATAGACTAGTATGGTTCACCATGGGTGAATCTCCAGCAACGTTGACACTGTGATGGATTATAAAGTTTCAAAAGCCACTAACAACAATAGCCCAGTGTTAAAAACGTTATCGTGCCTTCTCTGTAGTCAATTAGTCAACTTTTGCTCTAACCAAAGTATGCTATCTTGGTAAGTTAACACAACGTTAACTTTATAAAATAACAATGCTCCCTTTTGGTGCCAAATCTGGTGAATTTCTGAAACAGAAAACGTGACTTTACAGAGAAAACGTGAAAAATTTTAGAACATTAAATATCAACCTATATACTATCTCAATACGAGAGTTTTGTTATTTTTAGAAAATCGTAATAGTGTAGAAACAACTTCCCATATTTAGCTTTTTTTTTCAGTTACTATGCTAGCTAAAGAATTGAAATAGTATTGCTATGAAAATAAATATAAACTTGAAAGATTTTTGGAGATTATTATAGATACTTTAAATCAACAGCTTATGTCATTGGTTGTTTCACTTTAAAGCCTTTAAGCTGAATTTCCCCCAGTGGCTCAGCGGCAAGTCTGAATTCTTATAACGCTAAAAAGCAGGTTTCGATAACCGTGCTGCGCTGTACAGACAAACCATTGTGTAGCTCTGTGCTTAAGACCAACAAACAATTAATTTAAACTGATTTTTTTCTGTATATTCTGAATGTTGTCTAATTGCTCTCACCATCATTGTTCAGCATTAAGTTTGAGGGACTATAATGCTAAAATTTGGGGTTCGATATCTACGCTGTGCGCACCGCAGATAGCCCATTGTACAGTTTTGCGCTTCAACAAACAAACACGTAGAAGTCAGTCGGCAGTCGATTGCTTTGTTAATTATTATAGATAAATAACATTTCCATTATTATAGAACCCGCTGAATAAACTAAAAAAATATTTTTCGCTCTGCTAGACCCTGTGACTGCCGTGGAAGTTTACCAGTCAGCCCACCAGAGGGCTATGCGTGCTCAAGACCAAGAACTTCAAAATAAAAGGCTGAAAAAAAACTCTGAATAACTATTACCAAGAGCTAGAAATTCTGACGAACCAGGGTGAGAATTTTTATTTATTTATTGTGTTTATTATGTTTATTTATGTGTTAGAAATGATATGATAAGGAATATATTAGTAAAAATCAAACTAAATATTCCTATTTGTTTGAACATGCGGCGTAATAAAATTTGTGAATTCGAAATGACAGAATATATTTTTTGTTTGTTTTTGTTCAGATATGTTAGGGTATGATAAATTATCTACATAATTCACGAAATATATTATTCTGTTAGAGTCTAGTGACAAAGAATTATATGTAGATAAGTAAATGTTACTTTTGACAGGATTTGTTGAGATGTACCTATAACTTGATCGAATGATCGTTTTGAATGTGATCCAATATTTTACTAGAATGTGTAGAAAGATGATCCACTGCAAGTTACACTTTGTGTTGTTAGAATGTTTCGAAAGATTATCCACGGCATGTTACACTTTGTGCTGTTAGAATGTGTCGAAAGATGATCCGTCACATGTTAAACTTTGTTTTGTTAGAATGTGTCGAAAGAGGGTTCACAGCATATTACACCTTTTGTTGTTAGAGTGTGTTGAAAGATGATCCACAGCATGTTACACCTTTTGTTGTTAGAGTGTGTTGAAAGATGATCCACAGCATGTTACACCTTTTGTTGTTAGAGTGTGTTAAAGACGATCCACAGCATGTTACACCTTTTGTTGTTAGAGTGTGTTAAAGACGATCCACAGCATATTACACCTTTTATTGTTAGAGTGTGTTAAAGACGATCCGCAGCATGTTATACCTTTTGTTGTTAGAGTGTGTTGAAAGACGATCCACAGCATATTATACCTTTTGTTGTTAGAGTGTGTTGAAAGACGATCCACAGCATGTTACACTTTTTTGAAATTTGATAAAATAATGCCCAGCAAGATCTAACTACTTCCTAACACCAACTATAAATCTTATTAACGTTCTTATAATGATCACATGTTTTGAGGTAACTTCGCTTTTGTGACTGTTCTGATGTATTAGCCTGTTCCAACTACAAGTTATTTTGTGCTCAGAACATGACGATATGTTTTGAACTTCCGAACGCTGCGATGAGGTGACCTAATTCTATTGTTTTAAGTGTTCAAACTTTGACTGCCGATGAATGACATTTGTTTTTATACGATTATATACATATTAACCTTTAAAGTTAAACGCATCTTTCCATTCTTCTGTTCAACTCCCTCGACTGCTCGAATTCTTTAGATAAGACCAACGGAGAAATCCCATTTGCGCGTGCAATATTTTACTATGAATATACGTCGGCAACTCTTAAAGGCAAAACATATTTCGGTTCCCAGTGCGATATGTGTCAAACTTCCACGTCAAAATACTGGCGAGAGAAAAATAAGAGATATAGAGATAGAAGTGTGTGTGTGTTTACGTGTATATGTTTCTACGTCTAAATAGTAATCTCTGATAAACAATTTTGTTATCGACTAATGAAATACATTACACTGCGGTGTTTCTGTTACATTAGAATTGTATGCATTCATAACTGCACAGAGTCTAGCTAGAGCTGGAAGTACCTGTGAGTAGTGATCATATCGGATTAACACTGTTTACGTCATTTTAGAAACCGCAGCATTTAAAGAGTGGAAGCTCGCATTCAATCACGTGTAAACTGTGAACTTTTGAAAAGAACTGTTTAAAAAATAATAATCAGTTCAAAGTCGGCAGTTTTTAAATAATGCTTTTCTTTCTTCCAATCGTTTGTGGGAAATAACATTTGTTAAAGCAAGGCTGTTGGAAAAAGCTTGTTGATAAGATACTAGCTTTCTTAAATGAAAAAAAAACAAAAACTGTGCATATGGCTAGATTTTGTACAGTTGCAGAAGAAAAAAAAATGTAAATGTTGGTGTTAAGTCTAATGTTTTAGAACGTGCCAGCGTTGTTTATTTGAAAGTGTTACCACTAAGAACAGCCAACAAAAAGGTAAGAGAAAAGGATTAAATGTTACTTTACATAGAGCAAATGAATTTATTTGAAATGTAAAAAAAGAAAAGTGAATTGAACTTATATTTTTGTTGTTGTTTTTCAATTAAAATGTTTGTTTTTGCTATGTATACATTTATATATATCATACTACTACTATGCCGAAACACAACTCTTTCACTCTGCTGATATTTTAAGATAACTTTCAGACAATAAGACCAGAAATAACAATAACTTGCTCATCAAAGAAAGACAAATAAAACAAGGGAACAAACTATATTGTTGGAAGGCCGATATCTCTAGGGTTAGTATCCACACAGCCGTAGAGATATACCGTCTATTACACTTACCCTTTAATCGCAAGTATGCAGTCAGTTGTGGAAAGTGAATCACTCTTAATGACACAGAAGAATGAAAAATATAGTAGATTGCTACGGATAGACCACTCAGAATGATATGTAAAAATTATCTCCTGGAGTTGACATTCCAGTCCCTATAATAGTCATATACCTGTATCAAACCTAAGGTGTCTAGGTAAAAATTTAATTTTATATTCAAATTCCAATGTATAACGTAGTAATAGACAAATTCACCCAACAATCCACTCTGATTGTAGTAATAAGACAACTGATTATTATCCTGTTATGCTGATTACTCATGTAAATCAATTATTAATATAGTTCGACGATATTTTAATAGACACGAAAGTAAAGTTAAAAATGATCAAATCTTAACATTCAAACTACAACATTCTCGTGTCAGTTGAATATTAATTTTTTTAACTGTATAAAACTGGAGTTAGACAGACATATATTTTAGATTTTACGTCTGTTGCTGTCACTTATAAATGAAATTCTGTTGGAAGACTGTATTTTTAAGTCCAAAGTTTTGTCGTGTTTTTCAAACATTAGTTTCGAGATTTAGTTTTATTATATCTGTTAATCAGTGGCTTACTAATTAGTGTCTGTTACTTTTCAACGTTTCTTAATTAATGGATTTTTTTCGATGGCGCAACATGACTAAAGACTCAAAATTAGGTAAAACAAAATTACTGTGTTTTGGTTTTTCTTTAATCTACTCTAGGTAAATATTTCATTGTTAGATTGCTGCTATAATTGATACTTGCTGAATAATGCGCGTTTAAGTACAATTCAAACTATGTTTATTAAACTAATGCTTAACGTTATTTATAATCCTCTGTATTTTATTATTAATTGTTAATTTTCGCAGAAAGCACTAAAGTAATGAAAATAATGATTTAAGAAGGAAATAAAGGATTATTCAACAGGAAATAATTCCGTTTGGATGCACAAATTGAATGAGTGAAATTAAGTATAAAGTTAATTAAGCCTTTTTCTGGTTTACTTATGCGATATGACGTTCACTTTATACATCCACATAGGAGTATATTCGTGAAATGTTTCAACACATGAATTTTATTTGTTGTTAAGCACAAAGCTGCACAATGAGCTATCTGTGTTATGTCCACCGTGAGTATAGAAACCCGATTTTTTAGCGCAGTTTTTGGTTTTTATTTTTTTCTTAATCATTAACATTAACAACAAAAGAACTGCATTTAATCTTACAACATTAAAATGTGTGCTAGGTCTATGTATTGTAATAACTATCTTGGTCATTTGAGTTTAATATAAGCGATAAATGCAATTCAATAATATTAAAGAACATGTGAAAGATAGACAGTAATTTTTTGATTGTTAAAATGTCCAACAAATTTATTTTTAAATGATAAATGTAATTCATATTGGTGTTGTTTAGGTGTTGAAACATTAATTATTGTAGATACATGTGCTGCCTGGCCCGGCATGGCCAGGTGGTTAAGGCGCTCGACTCGCAATCTGAGAGTCGCGGGTTCGAATCCACGTCCCACCAAACATGCTCGCCCTTTCAGCCGTGGGGGCGTTATAATGTGACGGTCAATCCCACTATTAGTTAGTAAAAGAGTAGCTCAAGAGTTGGCGGTGGGGGGTGATGACTAGCTGCCTTCCCTCTAGTCTTACACTGCTAAATTAAGAACGGCTAGCGCAGAAAGCCCTCGTGTAGCTTTGCGCGAAATTCAAAACAAACAAACTCAAGGTAATGTAGAGTAAAAAGAAACATTTTGATAAACTGTTTAAGTTATTTGTGGTTGCTAAAATGGTAGGATAGTATATGAGTGATTATTTACTGAAAGACAAGAAAATTCTAATTGTTTATTTGAAACTAAATATTTCAATTTTTATTTATAGAAAAATAAGCTAGTGTCTGCGAGAGCCAATATTATACTAGGCCTCGCAGCAAACCAGTAGCAGAAATTGTGTAGGAAATTAAATATTGATTTTTCAAATTAAAAGAAAAAGGAATTCAGGGAATAAAATTACACGCACTGTTAGTTTTATCAATAGTCTAACAACACGATAATAACATTTATTTTTAGTTACAGCATGATAGACATGAAAGTATTGTATTTAGTGAAGCATAAATATTTTGACTGAAATATCTAATTTAATACACTGTTTCGGAAATATCAAGAGATATTAACGTTATGCTGCTGATTTACTGGTATTGTTCACAGATAGAAAAATAAACAATTCCTTAAAGATAAAAAAAACAGTTTATTTCTCAGGTGAGGCAACGTTCGCAACCAAAAGCATGTTTAGAAAGGGGGCGCCATAAAACAAAACCTTTGTGCACTACAGCGTAAGCTGATTCAGGTAAAAATAATACTCTTCAAGAATGTTTAAGCTACATTGTACTCGTACTTTGGTAACCCTGCCGAACGTGGCATCGTCTTTTGTATCACAGTGTATTAATTTTCTATTACTATGCCATTGACATGGCATTTTGAGATATAAATGGCCCTCTAATAATGATTTTTTTTTGTTTTATCTACATTTATATGTATTTTTTTCGTAACAGGAAAAACGCACTCAGTTAAGCCTTTACAAACACTTATTCACGGTGTTTCTTAACTAAGGTTTTCACATCGTCCATTTATCAGTATAGTTATTCTGTCTACAAATGATCGAGATGTTTTTTGAGAGCGCCAAACAACAACAACAACA